TATTTATAAATGTGTATACTAATTTAATACTGGGTTAAGATTTTTAATTTTTTTTTTTTAATCAAATTTAAATGATCACTTTAAAAGAATATTTTTAAAAAAGCAAACACTTAAAAAGCATAAACCAAATTCAACGTTGGATTCAAATGAAATCTTAAAATTGAATTAACTTTGTTTTTTTAAATAGGTCTAGTAGTTTGAAAAGTTATATTTAAAAAAAAAAAGCATTTAACTCTTAACAATGAAAGTTTCTCACAATTGCATTGTCAAAACCATCAGATCTAATTTTTGTCCCCCTTTTTAAAGCATTATCTTAACTTCATGTTTGCTCATGTGTTTGTAGTAAAATATCGGACGTGTTATTGACCCACTCCTCGTCATACTATCGAACTGAAACATGGCACATAGACTTCTATCTAATGACAACATATGTTTAAAACTTCGAGCCCAACTCCCCTACTTTAACCCATAAAAATCAATTTTCGTTTCAATTTTTTTTTTCCCAGGAGAAGATGAATGAGATATGATATGTTCAATGGCTGCATATTTTAGTGTGGAGATTTATTTTGTAGCTGTTTTTACGTTCTTTGTATTTGTTACGAATATGAATGTAAATATATATTTAGTCAATTATTGTTTACATGCGCTAATTTTGCTAAAACACATTCCCATACACCAAGTGATTTGCTAAAATCACAAAAATGATCAATTACATTCAATAAAAATATACTAACAAAGATGCATGTAAACAATTTATAATGAAAATCTTTGTTTTAGCTGGGTTTTTTTTGACTAACTGTATAATCATTTATATTTAACTATTCCCATTTATTCCTTGTTGTTCAAATTAATGAGTGACATAAAGAAAAATCTGCTTAACACCCTTTCACATCACCATGTCAATGACACTTATAAACCCATTGATGTTAAAAATTATTACACAGAAAACATGAATGCCAAGTATAAAGTAATGTGAAAGTTTAAAGATCACATACGTTTGCAAATAATAATTCTATACAACAGTAAGTGACTAATTATGTAGTAATGTCTAACTGCCTTACACGTGTTTCTAATATTTGGTCAGTGATATGATGACTGACTAAACTGTATCTATATTACAAAAACTTTTGTAGAAGACCTTGCAAGTGGTAGAGCGATCAGTCAGCCTTGAATGTTATTTCAATGGCAGACTTGTAATCTCCGTTTGTCGATACTTCAATGGAACATTACATGAAACTGTATTTTGTTCGTCAATTCCTTGACTGTAACATAAAACCGTACGTATGTGACGGTTATGTCTGCTCTTGAGATCAGAAACCACGACACGTATTTGAATAGCCTAGAAAATTGATTTATTGATTTGTGTGGCTGTTTATTTAACATTTGAACTATTTTAGTTAACGTCGAACGTCAATTATACTGAAAATCAATATTATATGTGGTAAACATGTTTTCATGGCATGCGTCTTCTTTTCTACTGGCGGGTGATATGTGTCAAACGAAAGCATTACATAAGCGGGCACTGATATGCCTTGCTCTTTCATTGCTTAAGGCTTTCGAAATACAAATATCATACACAATCAATCAAGTATATCCCACCAAGGACATGTCGTCAAGTACGGAGCAAGTGTTTAAACTCAAACAACTCTTAACGGTTTTAAAATGTACCAAATTAAACCACTTTAAACTCATGATATCAATGATTTAGAAAAAAGGATTTTAAAAATATTTTCATTTTTTTTATTTTTATGTCTGAACTATGGTGGATACATTTAAAGAACGGTATGAATCACTTGAGGACATGACGAGTCATTGTTTTGATCAATACTATGTAGTTTCATTACAAAGAATGTATGGCTAAGTGTTTTACTTGTGTTTTAAATATATATTTTAAAACACTAATTCAGATCCATTGGAAAGCAAACAAATTGAGTCATTTTAATATTTAAAAAAAGGAAGCTTTATATTTTTTTTTAACTATACTTACCATCGTCTGTTCACTGATGAAGGCTTCTTGCCTAACTGGTTATTATTTTATTGTGTTGTTATTTTATTTCAATTTTTTTTTCTCTGTTTTTTTTTTAAATTAAATATTTTTTTTTTTTTAAATGGAAAACTATTTCTATAACACGCACATAAATATTGGAAGGCTGGACGAATGTGAGGGTTTAATCTTATCAATACTAAGTTTTTGAACAGTAGTTCAATTTAAGGAAAAATCTTAGAAAAGTTAAATTGTTATTATTTTTTTTTTTTGTTTTTTTATTTTAATTTTTTTTTCTCTTTTTTTTTTTTAAATTAAATATTTTTTTTTTTTTAAATGGAAAACTATTTCTATAACACGCACATAAATATTGGATGGCTGGACGAATGTGAGGGTTTAATCTTATCAATACTAAGTTTGTGAACTGTAGTTCAATTTAAGGAAAAATCTCAGAAAAGTTAAAACACACAACCCGGTTGGATGGCAGGCGTTAACCTTGGAAGGCAACAAATCTAAGATTTTTAAGCGTCTACATTCAAACAAAGAGATCGATGCCCAATTGAGGTATCGCATTAAAAATTACAGCATCCGGGAGCTTAGTGGTTACAAGTATCATTCACACATGGCTTCACAGACGTGTTGAAAGATGTTGCTTGGTACCTAGGGAACCAGCTTATCCTTCTTAATAAAAATCCAGTAATCATGTTTTTGTTTTTGTTTTTTTACCTTTTATGAAATATAGAAATGCAATTATCAACAAATACTCCTACATGCCTTGGTGGATCTCGACCGAACTTAGTACGCATACACTTGAATATACATATGAAATACAGAGGCATAATAAACTCATAATATCCATTTCTCTGGAGCCCGGGGGCCGCATTTCATTTTTCTAAATATGAGCTATATAAATAGTCATTGACCTAGTCAGACAACACTGTTTATTCTATGTAAATGTATTGAGCTAGGCTTAGCCTTGTAGCAATACTCTTCATAGTCGATATCAAAATATAGTGATTTTAAAATTATTTATATCCAGCATATTGAGGGACAGGCTAGAGTTTTTCAGAAATTTTTATAATTTAAAAAAGTTAAGTCTATTGCATTTTAAATCAATTGATTGGGACAATTTTTAAATTTGTACTTTATTACTTATCTGACTGATTTTTAAAAGGTTATCTCAGGCAAAAGTAATTCGGTAAAATTATTGAATGGGCCCCGTCGGGTTTTCTCTTTAAATTGGGCTGGAAGTTAAACAAAAATCCCACAGAACCTGACTATGATAAGAGAATAAAGTAAAAGTATTACAATAAAAAAAAAACACCATTGAAAAAGTAAAACAATTTAATTTTGTAGGATTGTATTAAATGAAATAAATGAATAGCTAGCATAAATTAAATAAAGAATATCGCCCGAAAACAGGGAATACTTTAGTTATCAAAATATACTGGAAATTTTAAAAAAATACAAAAAGCAAATAAAAAGATGTATAAAAATGTAATCAAGTGAAACTTGGACCTAAACAAACGGCGGAAAACATATTAAATACATTGGGAGAGAAGAGTTCTTATTTTTACAAACAAAGGATAAAATTGGATTGAGAATACAAACCAACCAGAATTGTTTGATATATAATAGGATCCAACACTATTAACAACAATGCAAAAGTGCGGCAAATCTGGGCTTGACACGTATAAAGAATGTCAAATGACTGAAGAGTGAAGATCGCACCACCAAAACATCAATGAAAATGACTCAAAGGCAGTCCTAGGCTTTGATGGATGCATGGTGTGGAAACATATGTAAAGCAGATGCGAATCCAAGTATGTAAAAGGAAGCATCAGTTAGGTCTCAGTGGAACGATGTGTTGAATCAGGCCAAAGCCCTACATGAACTTTAGCGTAACAGGTTAATGAGTTAATGACTCATGATAATTAAATTTGATGTGATGAAATCTGATTACAATTTGAATATATTTTTCAATGCTAAGTCTTCTTATTCCCTTTAAAAAATATAATACAATTTCATGGAACATTTTAGCAGTTTCACGTTAATTTTAGTGAATAGATAATCTTTCAAATATTTTTTTTAACAGGAAAACATAATAGGTAAAAAAAAATATGGATTTACAAGAAAATCTCAGACTCGCACTAATTGCACATATAAAGTCTATGTTCCCCAAATTTAAGACTGGAAATTAATACGTGTAATGGTTGCTTTAAACATACGATATATAAAGAACTTAATGTTATATTTTTACATGGGTCAGCTATATGTATTCTAAAACAGAAGCATAAACAAAACAAAAAAATAACATGGTTTTAATTGTGTTGTTTCCTAATTTAAAAAAAAAAATTAAAATGAATAAATATTAATAATTATTATATTTTTAATATATTGTAAAAACCTACCAAACAGACAGTAAACAGATGTTACATTTTTCGTTTATTCAACAATATATTAGCATGTTTTTTTGTTTGTTTTTAATTCTTGACAAGCAAAGAATTCAGTTGATCATTTTAGGACATTAAGCTACTATTTAAAATTGAGTAAACACGTACAAGGTGTCTAAAAAAACATTTGAAAATCTATAAGCCAAGAATTATTTAATGCAATTAAATTCAATAATGTTTCTGAGTTACAGTAGAGTGCCAGGTATAAAGTCAACACGTAACTTTTGCACCTGCTTCTCAAAATATTTTTGTTAGCGTCTATCTTATTGGCTTATGTCAATAAAGCGCTGCTTAGAGATGTCATTATTTTTTAAGTAAAAAAAAATAATAATAATTTCAGAGATTATAAAATAGAAAGCACATTTCAAGTGCTTAAACTCATGCAAAAAATAATTTTAAAAAAAAAAAAAAAAAAAAAAAAAAAAAAAAAAAAAAAAAAAAAAAAAAAATAATTTCAGAGATTATAAAAAAGAAAACACATTTCAAGTGCTTAAACTCATGCAAAAAAAAATTTTAAAAAAAAAAAAAAAAAAAAAAAAAATTAAAATGTTAACATGAACCATTCCTAAGTTATTTGGATATGTTAATTAAAATGTTATATTTTTAGCACTAAAAAGTTTGCAGGCCAGTAAAGATATCAAAATGAGGACCACGCATAGCAAAATAAATAAAATTCATCAACATCTACACCCATTATAGACTGGTTTTAAATTTTTATTTCCCTATTGAGAATTGATCACTTATAATGCTTTTTGTCATTAAAAAATTATTACATGACCCTCTTATCAACTGAAATAGCAACATAATTTTTTTTTTTTTAAGGATAAAGTTTTAACTCTTTTTTTCATAGTTGAAATAGTTATACATTATCGTAATTAGAGATCGATCTTTGTCATTAAAATCAGCAATTGTAGATGTTAATAATTTTTTTTTTGCTTTCAGGAGAATGTATGCCGAGTTCTAAAAAAAGTCATCGAAAGTAAATATTTCAAAATTAAATTATTATCTTTATAAACAGTTAAAAAAGAAATCATACAAAACCCCAGACGGGGTAAAATAAGTTATGAAAGTTCATATATAAAATAAATAAGAGTGACATTTAATTGTTATGAGACATAGCAGAAATGGCGTATTTATATCAAATATAATTGTTATGTGTTTTGTTTGTAAATTTCTCTTTAAAAAATATGTAAAAATCGATTCTTGTAATTACATTAAGGTTTGAAATAATAATTATCTTTTTAATGTAACATTTGAGTGTTTTGCCAGATTTATGTCTCCAGGTACACTGCTCCTCCTTCCTTGAAATCTGTTGTTGACTGCACGTATAAAACATATTAAATTTCATTTTTATGTTGTTAAAATAAATAATTATTAAATAAATTAACATATCCCTATAACATTTAATCATATTCAAAATACCATCACTGTCACCAGCGACAACATAATATACTTTGAGTTAAAAATGTTCTCATGCTTCTGTTCAAGATAAAATTCAATCAAAATAGTACACTACTTTTTATTTTAAAATAATAATAATAATAATAATAAGTGGTCTTATATAGCGCGGTACCCCGGCCTAGGGCTGGGCTCATCGCGCTGTACATATATAGCAAAGAGGCATAATCATAATATTAAAATAAAATACATAAATGAAATAAAAACAACATATAATCAAAACAACACCATAGGTATATTCATCCACCCACACCAGACATTTTTACATTTAGAATAATATTCTAACATTCATTTTAAAACCCCGTTTATTACATTAGCCGGGTGCTAATAAATATTTGATTACTAGTAAATAAAGCCGGCGTTGCCCGGATTGTATTCGGAAACTACACAATGTCTACAAAATTTAATTGACATCGAAATTTAGTGCATTGTAAAAAAACAAACAAAAAAAAAACAAACAAAAAAACTTCAAAATAAAACAAAAAAAAGCAATGAAAAAATATAATAATTAATTTATCCGCTTTAAATACACATTTATAATAAATTGTATAAACCTTTGGTTCCGTAAAATTATTCCGATCACAAAGAGATCCCATTCGGATCACGTTACCCAATAGGATCATGTTTACCGATGGTATCCCGTTTCTCGGAGGGATAAAAAACCCTTTTGGATACTGATCATAAGTTTTATCACGATCTCGATGGAATCCCAATACCGGTTGGATCCAGATCCCGTCGGTATTCGGATAGTTATAGGATCGCAATACCCGTGGATCCCAATCCAACAGGAATACCGATTCAGGTTGCATCATTATCTTGGTGTGATCAGGTTCCCTGTGGGATCCCCCAATGTGTTGGGTCCCGATCCTATCGGTATCCCGTTTTCTGTTTGTATCCGATAGTGGTGGGATTTATACCCGGGGTTTTCCCGTTAACCGGTGGGATCCCGATGATGATGGGTTCCACAAACCGGTTGGATCCCGATGATGATGGGTTCCACAAACCGGTTGGATCCCGATGATGATGGGTTCCACAAACCGGTTGGATCCCGATGATGATGGGTTCCACAAACTGGTTGGATCCCGATGATGATGGGTTCCACAAACCGGTTGGATCCCGATACCGGTAGGATCCTGATCCCGGTGAGTTTTCGATCACGAAGGTTTCAAGAGCCTTGTGTATCCTATTTCCATGTGAGGTCACGATCCCAGTGGGATCCCGTTTTCATGTGGGTTATTTATGTAATCTTAAATTTAATTAAGAAATAATTAAGAAAAACCAAACAACATGTTTTTCATCTGATACGTTTTTGGAAGTATTTATTTGAAAGAAAATAGTCTTAGAAGACTCAACGTTAAGAATTATGTATGCCTTTTACTGTTTATTTATTTAATGTCTATGTTGTATAAATTTTCCTTTCTTCTTAGAATAAAGGAACATGCTTTTCAAGAAAGAACAACAAAAAAAGTAATACAATTATAAAAAAAAAATATTACCTTGATGTCTAATATTAAACTTCAATAATGGTTCAATATCATTTATATGGTCTGTTTCTTCTTCCAGCACTTTGCCTAAAAATATAATTAAGAAAATAACAAAAGGTAAAAACGTATACAAATTAATATTCATTCAAATAGATTTATATATTAATGAAATAAGGAAATCCTCGATTTTTTTTTTTAAATATAATTTTTATAAAATATACTTTATGTTAAAGGTTAAAACAGCGTTTAAGAGACACAAACATGTAAAACTTGAAGGGCTCAAATCATTTTGAGAATAACGCGGCTCGCTTTGTTTTTCGCACTCGTAATTTAAACATTCTAAAACACTTTTAAGAAAGTGGCATTGGCTGCCGTCAGCGGTCGCACAGAGTACGAAATTGCAAATCTGTGCTACCGCTGCTTACATGACCTGGCGCCGTCCTATCTCAAAGCGCTCATGACGCCTAATGTACCCACTAGACAACTTCACTCATCCGGTAGTGGCAAACTCTCGATACCGCGTGTTCGCCCTGAGACTTACGGAAGGCGCCCGTTCGCATTTGCTGACCCAAACAATTGGAATGCACTTCTTGTTGCTCTGAGAAACAGCAAGCCACCATAGTCTTTCAAAACCGATTTAAAAACATATCTATTTCGATAAAACCTTCTGTGGTGATGTTGTCTACTATCTGTTCCATCTAGCTATTATCTCCTAGATGTAAAGGGGCCTGTGTTGTTTATGGTTGCAAGGGATGAAAGATTTAGAATTGGTATTCTGGTATGTAGTTTTTGTAATGTTGCGTTTTGTATTTCATTGTGATAATATGTAGATTTTTAAAAATTTCTGTTTTAATATAGATGACTTTGTACCGCACTTCGAGCCTTTGGCGATGAAATGTGATTTTCAAATAAGCGTTATTATTATTATTATTTTAGCTTACAATTTAATAGCAATTAAATGATTGCGTATTTAATAATCATTTGGATACAATACTGCGTTTCTGGGTATTTTGAAGTATTGCTAATACATTTCTTATAAAGTAATAAGTACGACCCTTCTTTCCTTTTCTTAAAGTATTCTGCTTTTATATCACTGAAACTCAAAATCCATAATCTGAACCTATGCCTGAAAAGTCTTTTTTTTTTCCTTCACACAATCCAACAGACTAAAAGTCTGGCTTAAAACATAGCCGTACATGCAAAAATCTTTTCATGCAATGATTCTTCTTCTAAGTATATACTATTTCTTCAATAGCCAAACATTTATTTATTATATCTCCTTTTACCCTTTAGCACGTATTTTGTGTTAAATATGGAGGCACGCAAATTAAATGGTTTGGAATAGTGACGTCAGTACTGTATATTTCTTTTCCATATAAATGTTTAGATATTTTGATTTTGAATTTAGAGATATAACTAGAAAAATTAATGTATATATATATGTGTTGTCATACTTCGGCGTCTTCCCCCTAAGTTGATAGGCGGTTCTACTTCTCCTGTCTCTTCAATTTCTTCTTCCATATCATTATCTGAAGATATAAGTATTTTTTAAATTAAATAATAAAGTGCTTGCTACATTATGGGTCAACAAAAAAATTCCTATAACATTGATAAAATGCCATTTATTTATCCACTGTTATATTAATATTTTCTGTTTGGAAAAATGTAAAAAAAAAAAACAGTTCTTCAATTAATCTAATAGTGTCATTTGCTAAATTCATTGTAAATAGCAAAAGAAATTTTGAAAAATATAACAGGTCCTGTTCGTACCATCATTGGAATCAACACTTTTCATTTTGCGAATACAGTTCATGAACCTCGGAACCTGAATTCCAAAAACAAATAAGATAACATTAATTTTGTAACATAAAGCTCTCTTTAAAGATTTATTATTTTTAAATATAATATTTTAAAATAAATTGACATGAAACAATGATGCAAAATAACGACACAAAAAAACGCAACATATTTTTTTTAGTAATTTCTAAATTGAAAAAGTAAGAAAAAATAATAACTCCAAATGTTAACGCCAGTAAAAAAAAAAAAAATTACAAACTATGAAAAATTAGTTGGCAAAAATGAATTAAATGTGTGCATCATAAGTATTTTTTGTAGATGATAATATTTCTAATATTATTTTTTTTAAATGTCATAACTGCATCTTAGAACTATATTGTTCTTTTATTGGATTTTTTAAAATCATTAAACTGAAAAAGCGTTTTAATAATTCAACTATATTTTAACCAACAGTTTTCGTGTGCTTTTGATGGAACATTATTAACTTAATGTGCCTATTCATAATTATTTCATAACTAATGTAATGTATAACTCGTATTAATATAATTGATTCAGAAACCTAATGTTTCATTCTCATAATTATTAATTAGATTATTTTTTTAAAAAAATTATTGCAAAAGTTTAAATCTAATAAAAGAAAAAAATAATTAAATTGAAAACAAATCATGTTCTAAGACATCTATGGAAAATTTGCGTTTACCATAAACTCTTTATCAAAGGTATATTGAAATGTCCGTAATACTTTATTATCAACAAATGTGGGCTTTCACCGCCTTTCTGTTAGATGACAATGTTTTTTTTTCCCGTAATCCACTTGATTTTTCCAAAGTCACTTCAGTTACAATGATGTGCAATTTGCTGTAAAATGTTCATTTACTATATCTACTGGATATATTTTTTATAGATTAATAATTTAAAACACACACGATTTAAAATAATATATATATNTATATATATAACATATATATACATATTTATATTCTGCACCCGCTTAAGACCTAGTAAAAATATACATTTATTGTATCTTCCGGCACATTAAACTACTTTTATACCCATGAAAATCTTTTCAAAGGTCAAGGGTCGTCTTATTCGCCGATATCATCTTATAAGCTTGTACACGACGTGCTGCAACTTCGGGGGACAGGTGCCCTCTAGTTCCAGTTAGGTGGACAGCTGAGAAAACGAACAGCATGTCAGCTCCCATGAGTGTATTGTCTTATCTTTCCTTTCAGCTTTTGTGTGAATGAGGAAACGTTTATTCACTAGCACTGTTTTATTTTGAGATGTTGCATGTCAAACAGCCTTATGTTTATTTGTGATAGTTTTCCTGCTAAGTACCATCATGCTAAAGCATTAGAATCATTTTTTTAAAAAAACATATAGAAATGAAACCTGATGTTTCTTTTTTTTTTAAATTTGTATTTGGTGTGCTTTTGAAGAGGTGTAGTCTTATATGGCGAGTATAGCTCAAACTCTATTATTTAACAGGAGAATTAAGGCGTCGTCTTATAAGCTGGAAAATACGGTATATATATACACACACACACATATTATTATTATTATTATTTTATGGCATCCTTCCGTCTACTCGAGACGATGGGAGTAGCCATATAGTTCTACACTTTGACGAGTGGCTCACTAGGCTAATCCTTGAATGGCAATCGCGGCCGCATCTCTCGCAGGAGAATGTTGAAATCCGGTAAATTCTTGATTTTCGAGTTGTTATTTTTGATTCGAGGGCCTCGTTTCAAGTAATTTCTGCCTTTCTCATTCCTCCAAACCCTGTTGTACGCCATTTGGAGTGATGTTCGGCAATGGACTCCCATTTATTAAATTTCCATATTGGCTTCCCTCATGCTTCGTTTGCAAACGTCAATTAATCTCAGGTGCGGTCGTCCATTATGTCTTGTCCTCTCTGCCAAATCTCCATGCAGCAGAATCTTTGGGATACGTCCTTCCTCAATTCTCCGTACATGACCTAACCAGCGAAGGCGCCTCTTGATAGGAAAATAGAATATGCTAAACATGTGTGCACGTTCCAAGACCTCCACGTTAGGCACCCTGTCATGCCAACGAATGCGCAAAATGCGACGCAGTAATCTTTGATGGAAGCTGTTGAGTTTCCGCTCTTGACTGGTGTATGTGGTCCACACTTGGCTACCATATAGGAGCGTGCTAAGCACGCATGCCTGATAGACACTTATTTTTCTTTTATCAGTTAGATTGAGATGCTTCCACACCCGCTTATACAGTTTAGCCATAGTTGCTGCTGCTTTTGCGATCCTGATATTGATCTCTTCATCAACGGAGAGAGAACTAGAAATATTGGATCCCAGGTATATGAAATGATCAACAACCGAAATATTATGACCCTCAAAGATATGGTTGGAGGTGACGGTGCTTCTTGCATCATTACATGAGTTTTCTGTTGACTAATTGAAAGACCAAACTCCTTACAAGTATGTGATAGGCGATTAACCAGCCCCTGCAGACCTTTTTCTGTGTGAGATGTTAAGGCGGCATCGTCAGCAAATGGCAGTTCACGAATCCGCATTTTTTTTTTTACTTTGGTCTTTGCACGAAGGCGGGCGATATTGAACAGTCTTCCATCAGATCTTGTGTGGACGTACACTCCATCTTCACAGTCACTGAAAGCAAATTCAAGTTGCATCGAAAAGAAAATTGAAAGGAGAGTAGGTGCCAGTGCACAACCCTGTTTTACTCCACTGCTAACTGGAAAAAGACTCATAGACAGTGCCATTGAAAGTTACTGTGCTGTGCATGTTTTTGTGAAATGACTGTATTATTGTGAGCAGTCGTTGGTGGGACAACCTTTTCTTTGCAGGATACGGAAAAGGCCACTTCGACTTACCAAGTCAAATTCCTTGGTCAGGTCTATGAAGGCAATATAAAGAGGCATATGCTCTTCCCGAAATTTCTCCTGCATTTGGCGTAGCCAAAATATCATGTATATTGTTGAGCGCCCACTCCTGAAGCCACACTTGGACTCTGGGTAGAATGCACTGCAATCGTTTATGGGCAACCCGGGCAAAAGTCTTTCCAACTAAGCTGAGGAGAGAAATACCTCGGTAGTTATTGCAATCGCTTCGGTCCCCTTTATTTGTATACAATGTTACGATGTTGGCGTCTCTCATGTCCTTGGGAAAGTGACCTGTTTCCCAACACAGACAGAAGTAGGATAGGTTTTCCATTTTTGAGGATTTACGCTGGGATGCCGTCGATCTCTGGACCCTTCCCATCCGCAAGGTAATCGATGGCTTTTTTGAGCTCCTGTAAAGTTGGCTCTTCATCCAGTTCATTCATTACTGATAAGGCAGGAATATTATGGAGAGTGGTCTAAGTAACTACATTCATTGTAGAGTATAGCTCGAGTATAATGCTCTACCCAACGCCGGAGTTGATAATTTGGATTCTTGATAATTTGACCCGCCTTGAACTTGAGTGGTTCTATTTTTGACATGTGTGGACCAAATGCCCTCTTGATGCCCTCGTACATGCTCCTTGCATCTCCGATGTCTGAAGCCGTTTGTATGAAATTACAAAGTTCTAGCCTGTAAGTGTTGGCACAATTGCGGGCCTACTGCTGTGATAATTTTTTTGCGGTTCGGAGAGCCTGTAGTGTACTATCACAAGGTACTTCCCTATAGGCATATATATACATTTAAAAGGTTTACGAGAATTTTAGACTAATCAATTGATATTTTTCGAGTGAAAAAGTTTGTTCATATAGGTATGCATCATTATAGTCCTTTTATATATTTACAGTAAACATGTGTTAGCCAACTATTAATCTAAAGGTCTCGGTCATGATAAGAGGAGCGAATGGTATGACCACCCTGGCGCGTCTTTAGTTGGTGTAAGATTTTTAAAATAGTATGCATAACAAAAGTAATGATATACATTTTGTAATAAGGGAATAAAAGGGAGAGGGCTTTTTGGTTAATAAATTCAGTTTTTTGTTACGATGTTTTTAAAAAAATTCCTAAATATTATTGTTATTTTAACTTTTCCACACAATATATTTAATTAATAAACAATTTAAAAAAAATAATAATTTAAAAAAAAAAGATATTACAAATATTTTTTTTAAAAAATACACACAAAAAGTATTTTAATAGTTATTAATATCAGTTTTTTTCTTCTATTTTCTACAATTAAATTTGATTTATTTATTTTAACAAGACTTATCATTAAATTGTCTAAGAAAAGAACGAAGAAAAACAGAAAAAGAAAAAAAAACAAAACAAAATCTATTGATCTTTTAAAACTATATTTTAAAAAATTGTATATGTAATGTTTATGTCAGGGTGTGTGTGTGTTTCTCTGTGTGTTGGTGTGTGAATTGAAAAAGGTTTTATAAAATGCAAAATTAACATAAACATAGTTTATTTTAAAAAAATATTAATAGATTCGACTCATTTAAGTTAGATATTATTTGAGGCAAAGTATTAAACCTAATTAATGTGGACACAATTCCTGAGGTTTATGACATACCATGACATGTCTTTGCCACTTTCCTTTCCTAAAATATTGCATATAATGGATTTTATTAACGAAAAAGAAAACTACATAGTTGAAAAATATAAAGTTATGTATTATGGAAAAATCTTAATTTTAACTTTTTAATGATTGTATACAACAATAAATCTGTTAGTAATTTATGTATTACACTTTCATATGCTACATGCATTTACATATATTTAAATTTAAATTTAATTTTTTTTCTGTTGTTTGTTCGCTAACGAAGGCTTCGGCCAACATGTTCTAAGCTTTGTTGCATTTCACATTTCAGGTTCGACCATACTTTGTTGTACTCATTTCCAACATTCTTAGCCTATGTTTCAAAAAGTAGTTCATCTTTTCAAATGTTTTCTTTGAAATATTACAAATCAATGAAGATGTTACTGAAATAAACGATCAATACAAAACTGAGTATATCTTTCACATTTGTTAAAGCCAATCTCTTTTCTTTAACAGACAAACCAGTTGAAAGATTAATGAACCCCAGGATTCTTTTTAATGTACCACTTGATTTCCTCACGGATTTGCAGTAACAAGTCTGGATGAGTTGTTTTAAATTTTGCGCCCAACAACGTACATTTTGTCTTAAACATATGTTTCTTGAAGACTGTTGACTGGGGGTTTTTGTTATTATTTTAAATTCAATTGTTTTCCAGAAGTTTATCAAAATGCATATCACGAGCTCACTTATTGGTAATAGAGAACACCACACTAATTTTTGTGGAAAGTGATTTTTTCTGTTATATTATATCTACAATTTTTTGGTTGCTCTATTTCTTCATCGAAAATTCAATAAACTTAGATTCGGTGATCATAAAGAAAAGGATTCAGAAAGTTTATTTAATGCCATAGAATAATACATTTTAGGCAACTCAAAAAGTAGCATCAACAAGTGGTCTCTTAAGTATATACTATTTTCAATGTTCCACAAATTCTTCCTTTTGAGACTATTCGATTCTTTCTTTAACCAATGGCATGTCTTAGATTATACATCAATTTCGAATTTACTTGCAAACAATTTTATGAAATTATTCTATTTTTTTTTAAAATGAAATTCCTTCTTTGTATTTTTTTTTGTAATTTCGTTCATAAATAGTCTTGTCAATTCTTACCTAATATATTTATACTATTTTGTAAAAGGCTTAAAATGCTCGAAACTTAAGAGAATCTAATTATATTCGATTTTTTAAAAATTTCGATAACCACAAGAATTGTACCTGTTACTTTCCCAATCAGGATAAAGACATTTAAGGAAGAAACAATTTTTATTTGTTTCTGGAATTTCTTCAGCATCAACCTCAATTAGAGGAGGTTATCAGTATGGTCAAAAGAATGATTGCACAATCTTTACGACACGAGATCCCGAGAAAGCACTTTCAATGTGTGCTAACCATGAACAACAATAAAAATGAGAAACGCTTTTATCATATTTGTTTTTCATTGAACCAGAAAATAGATATTCAAAAAAAAAAAAAAAAAAAAAAAAAAAAATTAAAAAAAAAAAAAAAAAAAAAAAAAACAACAACGTTGCATTGGGCTGGATATTAGAAAAAAATGACTTCTCTAAAATCGGGGACTTATTAGTTCTCATTCAGATGTGTGACTTCTCTACTTTGTGTTAAGTCGGGCTCTAGACAATTCACATCTCAGAGCTGGCTACAAGTACCTTACATTTGACCAATTTGTTGTTCTTTAAAACGTCTAAGCTTCACAGAAATTATATATGTTTCGTTGCATATTTGAAACGGTTTATCAGTTGCCTGTAGACGTGAATAAAATCTTATTGCAGCTGGTGAAAGTTGAGCCCTAGATAAGTAACAACGAATTACAAAGCTTTACCGTATATACGACTTTAGCAAAATCAGAGGTATTTCACGCATTAAGAACACACCCGACACACACACACTCACATATACATATTATATATATATATATATATATATATTAATTTTAAAAATAAAAAAAGCCTACCTTAATAATAACGCAATTAATACAATGATGACAGTAGCCATAATTGCTATAATCCCGAAAAGAGCTTTATTCAACACATTAATGTCGGTCTCTTTATTGCTTGAGCTGTCATCTAGAATAACATTAAAACAAACACATTTGCATTTATTTCAACAAGGTACAAGCGTATCGTCTCTGGTATCAACACATTCAATGTAAACATAATTTATGAAATCAAACACAGAACTTAAGTTTAAATATGACCCAGTTTTTAGTAATTTTAGCAAATATAATTTGTTTCCAGATTACAACAAAAGTTTCTTTTCATTAAAAAAAACAAAAATTTTTTACGAATTCTTGGTTTAGCCTATTAGACTTACCGAGGTTAATACTACATTTGATGGTATTGACTTGCCCCTTCAATGTGCACGAGGCATACTTTATTGTGATGTTTAAAACCGGTCTTCGTGACGTGTGGATAACGTAACCTTTACCAAACAATGGTACCATCAAATCGGTTGCTGTGATTTCAATGAGGCACGGCAACACTTGACTGTCACACTCAAATATCACGACTATATCTGTTCCAGTTGCGCGGGTAACACACATGTGTGGTGTTTTAATCTCTTCTCCATTTATTAAAAGTCTACTATTAATGTCAGTGGTGTCTGATCAAGTGTAAAAATAATTTTGTTTGTTAATTTAAAAAGTCGTGTTACCCTGTAAGTTTCTAAAACTCAAACAATAATTAAATAAATATATGCCATGACATGTCAGTAGTTGAGAATTAGAAGTTTATATATTTTAGGAAGAAGTTATAAAAATCATGATCGCAAAAGAAGCCGCATCTATGATTAAAGTAAAGTGTGGAACAATCTGAAACTAATTGAAATTACAAAACTAAGTGTCTATCAGGCATGTGTGCTTAGTACGCTCCTTTATGACAGTTAAATGTGAACCACATATACCAGTAATGTGCGGAATCTCAACAGCTTCCACCAAAGATATCTGCCTTAAACTTTACACATCCAAATTAAAGGGAGAGTGTCTTACACAGAGGATTGTAAGCGCAAAATTGTATACGTTTTAAACAGGAGGCCCTTCTCTGGTTAGACAGTAGAAGAAAATAGAGGCAAGGCGTGTTTCAAACTACTGCTATTTTGATGGTCGCAGATTGAGCAAGACTTATTTCCCAACCGAGATTGCGATTTAATTAAGTTTTTACGACCAATAAAAATAGGATCAAGAGAAAGCGAACAGAGAAGTACCACGAGAATTATCATCGACGAGCAGCGTCCCAACTGGTGGAAAGCAGTATATGTAGGTACCAAACAGACAGAAGACGTTTGAACATTAGCACTTGTAACAAAAAGAGCTTTAAAGTAGTAATTAAAAAAAACAAAAAAACATTATAGCTTTTTCTGTGAGATCTTTAGCCACAGCTGCGATCTTAAGATCGGCCTAATCAGCCTTTTGATGAAGTGTAAATGGCTACTCCTTCGCCTCGCAAAGATGGAAATATGTCATATATTACATAAATATGCTTTGTAATCACAAACAATAAATTTAAAATTAAAATTTACTAGATAAAATAAAATAGAATAAAGTCAAACAGAAGATGTTTAAATTATTTTTGACATATGTTGTTATTGATTTGCTACATTAGGTAATAATATACAATTTATTTCAAATAAAACTGATTGAAAACCAATGAATATTAACTTTAAAGTTTCAGACCTCGTATTTCTGGAAATATTTGCTCATCACTGATTATTTCCTGGTAGTTTGAAGAAAGTAAAACACAACGTATTCTTGCACGACTTGACAATTTGTTTGCTTTAACTCTGACAGTGATTTTAACATCATGTTTACCAATTTGCTCCCAGGTACTTTGGTCAATAACAGAACTGTTGACGACTATATCTTTTAACTGAAATATACATTGTATAATTATATATATATAAATACACACATACATATATATTTATTTATTTATTTAGTCATTTATATAGCGCTTACATTAAACCTTTTAGCGCTTTACAATTATAAAAAAACATGTAAACTAAGTAAAATAAAAAGGAAAACCCAGAGACACTAGGATAGTAACTACTATACAATAGAAACAATTAAAATGGCTATAAAACGAGGACACTTTGGCACGTTTTGGATTATACTACAGGATCAACCCGAGACAGAAAATGAGGCAGTGCAAGGAGGGGGCATCACAGGTCATAGACGGACCTAAAAAGATGGGTTTTAAGGGACTTTTTGAAAGTGGACGAGATTTCATAATGACGGATGTGGAAGGGGAGCTGGTTCCAGAACGTGGGCCCATGGAAGCAGAAGGAGCGTTCACCGATGGTCTTAGTTTACATATATACATCATATTACAAAATATTGTTATATTACTTATGAAAAAACAATCAAATATTTTACAATACATTTGAGGAAAGAATCACTATTTCAAATTCTCTGCATTGTAGTAATAAAAGGTAATGCCCATGTCGAACAGGTATTTATTATTCACCAATATTTAAAACCACTTACGAAGATGAAGTCTTGATCAGTGGTCGTTTTTCGTTGACAATAAATATATTTAAAATTTACATCCTGAGAATAGTCCAACTCAGCTTTAAATACAACTGTGTCAATATCACTAATTAAGCCATGTGTGCAATTTGTATCACTATCCTCCTGTCTGTATGGCAGCAGTTTTAGTGATAGGCCATTTACATACACTGTAAAAACAAAAACAAAAATAATTTATTTATTTGTATTTAATTATTGCCTTATCAATGTACACTTTAAAGAACTGAAAATCGAATGTTATTTATTTATTACTTCTCAATTTCAGTTACAGTGTGAAATTTTATAACATATAAGTAAAAAATAGGTTTGAGGCTTAAAGCTCATTTCGATTTGTTCACTAGATATATCTTTGTCAACCTCAAAATTAGGTCTATATGAGTTGATTTTGAAGACACAAATTAGCCTAGACGAGTTAAAAAAATATGTAACAAATTAAATATTTTTTTATTGTTAAGTACATATTGAAATTAATTGTCTTCAAAAACTTTATATTTTCCTCTTTTAAAAAACTCTGGGTTTTTTTTCTTGTCTTTTTTGTATTTTAAAATATTTTTTACTTTCATTACTATATAATTCATATTTATAAGATAGATAGATATATATTTATTTTTTATGTATATATGTATATATATATATATAAATATATATATATAAATATATAAATATACATGTGTGTATCTTTATATGTATCTATCTATATATATATAAATGTAATAGTTATATAGTTATATCTTTAATTGTTATGGAAAGACAATGTTTTTAAAATATTAAGGCGAATTAAATTACTATCTAGAATAGCAGTTATTGTTTAAAGAAAAAAAGAAAATAAATTAGGCTCTAATTTTTTTTTTTTAAATCCTTGTAGTTTCCCTATTAATTTAGACTTATTTAAATTCTAATCAGAGTGTGTCCATGTTTTTATTTAACATTTTAAAAAAAATACCTCCAATGATATTAAATAAACATGAATTTAAATTAGAAATTTATGGAAATTGGTTTAAAAAATTAATACTTTGTCATAGAATCATAATACAGTAAATCATTACATTTAACTCTGTAATGTTAACATAGAGGTAATAAACGATAAACGTTGAATTTGTTTTAGGATTTTTTAGTATTCTAAGACTAAAGAGACTAGCATTAACATAACATCGCTCCATTTGGATAATCCTAAACGAAATGTAATCTTTAAAAGTAATTATTTTTTTTTACAAATTCTTAACTTAATGTATATCTTAATTTAAAATCTTTATAAAAAATTTTCTTTTTTTTTAAACAATCATACTTTCAGTGTGTTACAGTTAAAATCACTTTGAAGCTTAAATTTTCATTAATGATAAAAGTTTATTATTTATAAATTAATCATTATTTTCATATGATATCAGGATTTATTTATAATAAGACTTATTGAAGTTAAATTAAACTGAAAATATAACCAGGTAGAAATTGTAGACCAATATTTAAATATGTAGCGCTATTTAAAAGTTGACACTTTAAATTGAAAGTTATAAAACGAAAAATGAAAGGAATATATTTATAGAGAGTAATTAATACACAAAATTATAATCTTCAAATCAGAAATTTAACTTACCATAATTGATTGCTATCAAAGTGAAGACAAAAAGCAATCTCTTCATTTCAAAGCTACAAACTAATATCATTTTCTTTTTTTTTTTTATAAAATAGAATATATTGGCTTCAAAAAATTGATGCACAATATTTTGTTTTAATTCAAGTTTAATTACTTAGTTAACAAAATATGTATGATCCATCCAGTAGAAATATCTATATTTAGGCTTGGCTGAAAAATAAATTAAATNTATATATATATATATATATATATATATATATATATATATATATATATGATTTATATATTTTATTTCGTTCAGTAAACTTACTTAAATTGTATTTGTGTCCATATTATACATCAATATATTCAGAACTTTAGAATTAGCTTTAATTTTTGTTTTTTTAATTTACCAAATTGAATTTTCGACATCAGTTATGTTGCATTGCAACAAGTGTGTTACAGGACGATGTAACATTCCCAAATATTTTCTAGCAAGTCTTTGAAGGACTTTTGTGAAGTGTCATCAAAGCCTAAAAATAACCGATTGATATACATTGGAATTGTCCTAGGAGCTTCGTGACATACAATCAAACTTGCCTTTTTATTTCAGTTGCCGATATACCCCTGTTGAAATTTCAAATATCAGTTTCGGACACTATCGAAACATTTTAGATGTCCTACTTTAAAAAAAAATAATTATAAAATGCGTATATTAATCTATGTCATATAGGATATTCCCATTTCTGTTTAAAAAGTTTTAATACATGGCACTGTAGGACCATAACTAGAGGTATTACCAGTCAAAGTATTACTACATTTGAAATAATTTTTTTTTTTGAAATAATAATAAAATATAACTGCTTTTCCTAAAGTAACATAATTGTTCTCTTTTTTTTCATTGTTACACAGTTTTAGATAAAACAAAACTTTTTTTTTTTTTATATTCTAGTCCAAAACACTTTTTAGACTAGAAAATAAAATGAGTTAAAAATTACGATGAGGCGAATTATATGTTTAACTTTATTTTAATTTAGAATATATTTTAGTGCTGTCAGTTAATAGATGATTTATTTCACTTTATCGGAGCTTAAGCTTTTATATCACGAGTGTAAATATAATTTTTTTTTTTAAACTTGTATTTAGCATATATATTAAAGGACTGCGTTCAAGCTGTTTGATTAAATTTGAGAGCAATGTATGTGAAAGCCTGAATAGAAAGACAGGACAAAGCATTCACTCAGGGAACAAGACGTTTACGTGACAGAATTGGTCTAATCAGCCATCTGTGCACCAGCAGCAAAAATTCAAAATAAGAATATAGGATGATTAAGGTGGTCATTGTCTGTTTCGACTTAAGAACACTTTAATGTGTGAACCCTAATGGATGGGACGGGGGAGGGGGTTGAAGACAATGGGAGACACATTTACCTTGAGGGTTAAGAAAATATTGATGTTTAAGCAGAAAAAGAAAACGACTCTTTCCTTTGCCGCGCTTTTCCTGGTAAATTGAGTCAACTAGTGTTTTGAAAAACTACGTTACGAAGAGGAGACCCAAAGGTGAACAATACTTATTATGACTATTGCAAAAGAATAGAAGCCAGCACTATACAATACATAGAAAATCATTTGAATCTCACATTCAAGACCATGCATACGGGACTTGGGAAAAGGGTGGCACAAACCATGGGCCCCTTCTTATTTTTGTACGATTACACTTTGTATAATAAATCAGCATTGCACTAAAAGAAACATTTAGAATCATTTGCTCCTATATAAAGTTTTTCAAATAAATTGTAACTTGTGGAAGCTGCAATTGCACTCCAGTTATAGAAGAAACATAACTGTGTTATAATTTTCAAAACTTTTAGTTTCAAACCTTCTGAAATAAATGTGTGCGTCATGTATTGAAATGAGAACCGTGACACCACCAAGTTCAATAGTTTATGAAAATGATTGATCAAAAGATTATTTTCAGTTTAAAATCGTATGTCAATGAAGAAAAATCAATAATACATGTGGTAAACAGGTATTCATGGTATACACCTTCTTTTCTACAGTCGGTGGATATATTTCAAAAGATCTGAGCCATGTTCCCGTCCCATGTATTTTGCTTTCGTGTGTAACTTAAAGTTCTTTCAATATAAACAACCAATTGATTATACACAATCAATAAAGTACCAAGGATAGATCGTCAAGTACAGAGCTAGTGGTTAAAGTCCAACAGTACTTAATGATTTTAAAATATAGCAAATAAAAATCGTTAAATCTTAATCTAATGAGGTCATTGATTTAAACAAAGGATTTATATATATATTTAATATCTAATTTTGAAACACTTGAGGACATGGCGAGTCATTGTTTTGTTTTCACGGAAATAGATTTATAAAAATAAAAGTATGACTAAGCTTGTGTATTGTATTTATATTATTAAACATTGATTTAGTTCCAATAAAAGTAAGATAAGTTGAATCATTAAACTATAATACACAAATGTAAATCCTTCAATAATCGAGAGCATGAAGAAAGAGGATATATATTTAAATGCATTCTTTAGTATTCATGTGTGGGGAATTTTATATGTAAACAAGAGTGTAAATATAGCATTGTAGTTTTAAAAAAAAAACCTGACAAATTAATAAAATAATCTCGTATCATTTAATGTAAAGAAACATACTTGGTTATTTGTTATTATCTGTGTTTAGGACAAAAATCAATGTATTTAATTGATAGTAATTCTCAAGTTCAGTTCTACTTTGTTTTAAATTTAAACAAAAGAAACCAAAGACGTCTCACTTCCTTTCCACGTGTTATTTTAATTGCTCAATTAATAAGATACATCATTAAAATATGTTTATATCCGTTAGGAGTTGTTTGATTCGTGTCACACTGTGCCATTGTAAATGTAAACACTATCTAAGAGGATACATTTAACTTAGCATTGATTTCATAGCAAAAATAAAATAAATAAATAACAACAAATGTATTGAGGAATGACAACTTACCAAGAATTAAGTTTAAAGGAAAAACATAGAAATATTTTTCCACTTTCGTAGCCTGTTTCATTTAGTTTTTTTAAATTTAATATATACAAAAAATTACATATACTCATAAAGCATTTAATGTATGATACTATTTATTTTTGTTAGTGCATGCTTCCCCTGAATTTAAGACATTGCTACGCTTGAAGCAAAAATCTCACGAACAACAAAAAAAAATATATATATTACGACCTCCTATAAATGATTGACTGATCTCACAGCAAAAATTTGTCCCTACATTAGTTAGCTGTTCTTTTCAAAGGTTCACCACCGATACATCGAAATGGAAATAGCATGCATACAAATATAAAATAATTTATACTATGTAAATTGAAGGATATCTCCCAGTAATAAATGTATAAATTTATTTGTATTGAAACTTAGATATAAAATCTGAAAGTTTGACAGGTAATATATATCTCATTGCCTTGGTTAAATTGAGATAACCATCAGATATATCTTTGATTCACAATTTTGGTTATACACATTTTAACTATGCATGTTTAACGACACAAACTTTTCCAAGACGTAAATAGCTACAAGTCAGATTTAGAGCGCATGCAGCGTTTAACCTTCATTTTTCCTAATGCAAATTTGTGTTGTACCTTATTTTAAAAATTATTGAAGCTGAAATGTTGTGGCACTAAGCTAGAGGTTTAAAAGTGTTGAAACAAAATTCAATTACAAAACCAAATGTGTTTCTATAGGGTGGAATTCATAGTTATTAAGTCATTATTTACATGGTGACGGTACGTAGATAAGTCAAAAATTAAAAATAACTATACACAAAAACTAATATATTCGATCATATTAATGCACTTTTTCAAGCTGCCAGAAGTCTTAATTGTAGATGTGCATACAGACACATAATGATCCTTTAAAGACCAGGAATATAGTTTAACTAATAATTAGATATTGAAGGGTTCGAGTTATGCGAATAATATGCATTGAAATGATCAACATTTAAGTCTACTTGTCATTGTGTTAGATCCACAGAGAGTAGGATGCGTCCCTGTGTAATAAAAAGAATATAGAGTGGGTGAGCCTAAATCCTGATCGGACTATGAGCCTAGTAATAATCTTAACCGGGGGCTATACTTAAGGTCACTTGAAATAGTGCCAACGTTTATGATATGAGTTCATAATTTTTAAAATTATTTCTTCGCTCATTAAGTTTAAACTCATATTAAAAACATTAATATCCATGATATCAAAATTTTAAAAACAAGTTATAAATTGTTCTGTCTAGTAGTTTCTAGATTGTGATGGTCTCAATTTCAATAAATGAAGTACATTTTAAAACGTGACTCCCTGCTCATAATTTTCTTATGATTACACGATGAAATAAACAGTGCACGGTTATCAAGCAAAAGGAGCAACAAGTGGGAAACTATCTCTCGTTAGTGAATGTAGTTTTTTGGCTTACTTGTTAGTCGAACTCACGTTACTAATGGGAGAACCAATGTTGCGGGATATTTAATTGCTTGTATAATAAACTGTTATTAATGTTAATTTATAAAGACTTTGTGGCATTGTGCATTATATATATGGCATCCTTCCGTCTACGTGAGATGATGGAGTAGCTATATAGTTCTACACTTTGACGAGTGGCTCACTAGGCCAATCCTAGAATGGCAATCAAGGCATCATCTCACGCAGGAGAATATTGAAACCCGGTAAGATCTTGATTTCCGAATTGTTATTTTTGATTCAAAGACCTCGTTTCGAGTATCTTGTGCCTTTTTTACTCCTTCAAACACTGTTGTTCATCAATTGGAGCGATGTTAGGCAATGAACTCCCATTCGTTTATTTCAATATTGGCTTACCTCATGCTTCGTTTGCCAGCCTCAATAATTCTCAGGCGTGGCCGTACCTACTGCCAACTCTCCATAGAGCAGAATATTTGGGATACGTCCTTCCTCCATTCTCCGTACATGACCCAATCAGCGAAGGCGCCTCTTGATTAGAAAGGAGAATATGCTAAACATGTGTGCACGTTCCAAGACCACCACGTTAGGCACCCTGTCCTGCCAAAGAATGCGTAAAATTCGACGCAGACATCTTTGATGGAAGGTGATGAGTTTCCGCTGCTGATATGTGGTCCACACTTCGCTACCATATAGGAGCGTGCTAAGCACGCATGCCTGATAGACACTTATTTTTTGTTTAATCAGTTAGATTGAGATTATTCCACACCCGCTTATTCAGTTTAGCCATAGTTGCTGCTGCTTTTGCAATCCTGATATTTATCTCTTCATCAACTGAGAGAGAACTAGAAATATTGGATCCCAGGTATGTGAAATGATCAACAACCAAAAGATTATGACCCTCAATAGATATGATTTGAGGGGACGGTGCTTCTTGCAACATTACATGTGTTTTCTGTACTAATAAAAAGTACAAACTCTTTACAAGCGTGTGATAGGCGATTAACCAGCCCCTGCAGACCTTCTTCTGTTTGAGATGTTAAGGTGGCATCGTCAGCGAACAGCAGTTCACGAATCGCCACCTTTTTTTACTTTGGTCTTTGCACGAAGGCGGGCGCTATTGAACAGCCTTCCATCAGATCTGGTATGGACGTACACTCCATCGTCACAGTCCTTGAAGGCAAATTGAAGGAGCATCGAACACAAAATGGAAAAGAGCCCCATTGTGCATTAGTGTAACAGTTTTATGTGTCATACCCAGTACATCGACAAC